TTCCGGGGGCTGACTTCAAGAGGGAAGTCGGGGTCGCGGCCGAGGAAGCCGCGCGGCGCAATCGATTCGTGGGCCCGGGGCCGCTGGCCAGATTGTTGCCCGCCGATTGGGGGGGGCTTCGGGGGGCGTTCCCACGGCGGAATAAGACAGCTAGTTAGAGAGATTTATCCATCGAGTCTTCAAGGAATCCCAGGGCCCGATCCGAAACTGAGGAGATTGGTCGGGTTCCCAGCGAGGACCTGGGCGACAAGAAATCCCCGACGCGCAGGCTTTTCTTGCGCCGGGCAAGGGGGCCTCGATTCTTCCAGCAAGCAGGCCCATCAGTTCGAGATTCAGGAAGAGCCGCCTGGCGCGGTTCTTGGAGAGAACCTCGAATATGTGTATGGCGTGTCCGGTGCTTGCGGAGGTTGGCGATTGGATCGTTGCTCTTCACCCTCCCAGAAGCAAGGACTACCCCGACAGGTGTCGGGGCCGTTTTGATTTTCTGGCAACGTGGAGGAGGCGGGGGGAGGGGGTCGACTACGTCGGCCGTCGAATCCGAGTTTCTCTGACAGGGCAGTTGGTGGATCAAGAGAAGTATATAGTGGAGTCGATCACTCGCGTGAATAGAGCTCGCCATCGCCGGGGGAGTCACAGTCAGGCCCTGGTGGGGCCCGAAATGATAGAGTTTAGATCCTTAATATGTCGACTCAACTGGGTCGGCCGGAAAACGACTGCAGAAGTTGCAGGAGCGGCGTCGGTGCTCGCATCCAGAACCAACAGCCCCGCCGTAGGAGACGCCCTCGAGGCGAAAAAGGAAGCAGATCTTTTCATAAGTACCGCATCTGTGCCGATCGCTATATGGCGTTCCAGAAGAGACAATCTGATCTCTGGCGCGGCGAGCGACGCGGGAGGGATCGGCGTGGCGCGCCCAGGGCATGCTCGACAGGCGCGGTAAGTATACGTTGCCGACGAGAGTCTTTCCGCGGGACAATCATAACGGGAGTTACCGCGTCGTTTTGGCTGTCATCTCGATTGAAATGGCAAGTGCCGCCCGCGTTAGCAGGAGAAATTATTTCGTCGAGTGCGGCTCTAGTGGAGGCGGAGTGGTTGCATATGTTATTTCTGGAAGTGACTTGGGGAGGACTCTGGACCAGTTCCTGGAGAAGTCACGCTGGTCCGTTCACCGCGGTTTTGAGGCAGGATAGCCAGCTCAACGCGGCTCCTGTTGAGAATGTCTCGGTCATCGACGCGCTGGGAAGTTCTGGCGCTCTATATCATATTTCGCATGGTTCTACGGCTGGCGGCCAGATCGCAGTGGATCTGCCCGTGATTCGCAAAGTAGTGGGGCGCATTGGCACCAGTGTCCGATGGGTCCCGCGGTCCGCCATGACTGTTGACGCGATGGCCAAACCAGATGTGTCAAAAGGAAACGCGCCCCAGCTCAGAAAACTGCAATCAGGAGTGCTCCGTCTCATTGCTGAGCCGGACAGCCTGCGTGCTCCGGAGCGACGCGATCGCCCAAAATGGAAGAAAACGAGCAGGGCTTCCCCGGGCAAGTACTTGAACCGAGCACAGAGGGCCCAGGAGGATTGAGGTGGTGGCGAGGAGGATCGACGACGACCGACTTTTCTTTCTTTCTGTATTAAATGTTTCTTTCCGCCCGTGCCGCCCCTGGTCCAAGTTACTGCCCCAGCCAGCTGCCCTCTCTCTTTTTTCTTCTATCTCTCACTCTCTCTCTCTCTCCCTCCCTCTGCGTGCAAGTCTCCGTGCGCAGTCAGAGTGGAATGGGCTGTTCCCGAAAGGCTGGGGATGATTCGGGGGGGCCTTTCGCTTCGTTCTATGGTACCGGAGAACGGACACAAGTATAGGCCGGGGGGGGGATTTGAGGGGGCGGAGACGGACCGTAGTGAGGGTTGCCCGTGTGAGGGCCTTGCGATGGTGGGGGGCGGGGGGGGGGGTGAGGGTAGGGGTTGGGGGGGTGGGGGTAGTGGGTGGAGGGTGGGTGGTGGTGGTGGTAGGTAGTTTTGGTGGGGAGTGGCAGTTTTAATTTTTTTTTTTTTTTATATTTTTTTTTTTCTTTTTAGTTTTTTTTTTTTTTTTAGTGTTTTTTTCTTTTTTTTATTCTTTTTTGTTTTTTTGTTGTTTTATCATTACTTTTTTTATTTTTTTTTTTTTTTTTTTATTTTATATATTTTTTTATTTTTTTTTTTTTTTTTGTTTTTTTGTAATCTTCTTTTTTGTTTTTTATTTTATTTTTTTTTTATTTTATTTATTTCTATTTTTTATTTTTTATTTTATTTTTTTTTTTTTTTTTTTTTTATACGGCTGGTGAGTTATAAGGCTATGAGGTTATTGGGCTATAGGCCTATAGGCCTATAGTGCTATAGGGCCATAGGTCTACAGGGGTAGAAGGGGGCTAGAGGGCTACAGGGCTATAAGGCTATACGGCTATAGTGCTATAGGGCTATTGGACTGTAGGACTATAGAGCTATAGGGCTATAGAGCTATAGGGCTATAGGGCTGTAGAGCTATAGGGCTAGAGGGCGATAGGGCTATAGGGCCATGGGGCACTGGGGCACCCGGGCACCTGGGCGGGCCGCCGGAATCGGCGACGCAGCTCCTGGGCACCCGGGCACCCTGGCTCCTGGGCGGGCCGCCAAAATCGGCCGCGCAGCTGATCTAACCATATGAATCCGCTAGGATCCCATACAGAGGCAAGCTCTGATTGGGGAATTTACACGTCGAGGTGTTGGAGAATGATACCAGAGAGAAGCCCCAATCGGAATTAGGGTTCTAGGGCTACGGGCTGCTATGGGCTATAGGGCTATAGGGTTAAGGGCGGGTACCCGGGAGCCCTAATGCCCTGTAGCTCTATAGCCTGATAGCCTTACAGCCTTATAGCGCTATAGCACTATAGCCCAACAGCCTTGTTGCCCTGTAGCCCTATCTCCCTATAACCCTATAGCCCTATAGCCTTAACAACCCTCATAGCCCTAGAGGCCTATAGCCCACTAACCCTATAGCCCTGTAGCCCTATAGCCTTATAGCCTTATAGCCTTATAACCCTCAAGACCTCAAGCCCTCAATCTCTCAAGCCCTGTAGCCCTCTAGCCCTATAGCCTTATAGCCCTGTAGCCCCATAGCCTTATAGCCTTCTAGTCCTCTTGCCTTAAAACGATTATGATTGGGTTTTCCTCCGGTATCATATGGCTAGGGTAAGTGCGCCGCCGATTTCGGCGGCCCGCCCGGGTGCCCGGGGGCCTGGGTGAGGTGCGCCGCCAATTGCCGCGGCCGGGTGCCCGGGTGCCCCGGTGCCCGGGTGCCCAGGTGCCCGGGTGCCCGGGTATGCCGCCAAAGTCGGCGGCGCACGTAACATAACCATATGAATTTGTTAGGACCCCTACAGAGGCAAGCTCTGATTGGGGAATGAATCCGCTAGTACCCCTACAGAGGCAAGCTTTGATTGAGGAATACTTCAACCTTCGTAAATAGCCTCACGATTTTCTAGATGATACTGCAAGATCGGAAGGCCATATCAGGACGCATGGATGTTTGGTTTCAGATCCTTCCCCATCCTTGCCAATTTCAGCGTTAAATTGTGTAGTTTGTGCTCTGTTCAATGTTCTCTATCTCATTTTGAGCTCACTGTGATGGGGCCCACTGTATAAGATAGGTGTGGCCAATGAGCTTAAAGATATAATTTTCCCGCTGTGTATGTTTGTCTGTTGTTATGTAGCATTGCATTCCTTTCCGCTGTCATTTTGCTTTGCAGACACCTTTAGCAGCTGTTGCTTCTGCAGTGGCACTGAAAGATATCACTTGATTGGGGCGTCTCCGTCGATGGAACGCGTCTGAGAAAGGATGCATCAGACACAACCACCATTACCACCACCGTCATCATGATCATCATCATGATCATCATCATCATCATCATCATCATCATCATCATCATCAATATCGTCGTCGTCAGCATCGTCATCATCATCGACGTCATCATCTTCATTGTCGTCACCATCGTCATCAGCAGCACCGTCATCATCATCATCACCATTATCATCACCATCACTACCACCGTGGCCCTCATCACCATTATTATTAACACCATCATCACCACCACTATCACCATCATCACCATCATAGCCATCTTCACCATCATCACCACCATCAGCATCGTCGTCGTCATCATCATGTGCATCGTCATCACCGCCACCATCATCATCATCATCATCATCATCATCATCATCATCATCATCATCAATATCATCATTACCAACATCATCATCACCATCATCACCATCATCACCACCATCACTATCATCACTATCATTGACAGCATCACCATCATCACCATCACGACCGTCATCACCATCGTCGTCGTAACCATCAGGTGTATCATCAGCATCACCACCATCATCATCATCACCACCATCATTACCATCATCATAATCACCATCACCACCATCACCATCATCACCATCATCACCATCATCACCATCATCACCACCATCACAACCACCACCATCCCCCTAGTCCGAAGCAAGGGCAGAGCTGGCGCCCTCCGCACCTCGGGCATTTGCCTGGTCGCGTTGCTGGGCAGGACCGCGCGCAGCGCCCAACACTTCGACAGGGCGGCCGCCCGCGTGGCCCGCCAGGTGCTCGCCGCGCGGGGCGAGGCGGACGCCCGCCGCCGCCGTCGCCGTCGCCGTCGCCGTCACCGTCGCCGTCGCCGTCGCCGTCGCCGTCGCCGTCGCCGTCGCCGTCGCCCGCCCACCACGGCGCTGCCCAAGGAGGGGGAGCACAGGGATCATGTCGATTCTTCCGATTCGAGTCCGATTCCGATTCGGTTAGATTTCGGGTTCTCAACGGAGGCCTTATTAGTCTGCCGATTTCCGCCGATTCGGTTTCTCCCGGTTTGGCTTCCGATTTTCGCCGATGCGATTCATACCGATCGCCGATCCGATTTATTGATTCGATTCTGGGCCCTCCTGGGAGGAGGACATGGAGCCGCCCACTACGGCGCTGCCCAAGGAGGCGGAGGAGGACCTAGGCCTCCAGGATGGGGGTTCGAGCAGATGGATCGGCGATGCATCGGCGATGCGGCTCGACGTGGAGCCTGATTTTCTCCACGCCAGCGGCGCCAATGCATTGTAGACGTCGACGGTGCATCGCCAATGCATCGGCGATGCGTCGCCGATGCATCGGCGATGTGGCGCGATCCTCCGACCCCACTTTCTCTGGTCCCACCCAGGAGGCCTTCTGGACATGGCGACGAGATCTATACATGTCCCCTGCCCCAGGCCTGGCCCATCCTGGGCCCAGGAACGGTGTGTATGCCTCCCCTGCCAAGCCCCGAGGGTATACTGTCGGAACAAGAATCGGATCTGTGCCGAACCCCCTTGGCGGCGCCTCTGGCGTCGCCCCTGGCGCGCGGAGCGCGCCAGGGAGGGGGGTCCAGCGCCGATCCAAGAGATCCGCGCGTAGCTCCGAAAGTTATTGCTTATGCCGTTGTCTCTTCTATCCTGGGCCAAAGATTGGCCAGGCCTGGAGCAGTAGACAGGTGTACATCTCGTCGCCCCAGAGGAGCGCCCGATCTTGCGCCCCGCCGGTCGCAGCACGGCGGGCTGCCTGCTGTCGAGCGTGGCGCGCTCCGGGGGCCTGAGGCTCAGGAAGATGGGCATCGGCCCGGCCCTGGGCGCGTAGGGGGCAGACATCGTTCGCCGTGGGGGAAACGGGTCCTGAGGGAAACGTGTCCTCAGGTTTTCCGCCGGTTTGGGTTTCCTTGGGCCATCCACGGGCCCCGGGGTTGTCAGACAACGACTCAGGATAAAGAATTTGTCCTGGAGGAAGGCCCCAGCCAGGGTCCAGGACCCGTTTCCGTCAGGAACTGTTTCCCCCATGCTCAGCATCGTGGGCGGAATACATATCCGTATCTCCAGGGAACGCAAACATGGATTGAGGCCACGTGGATTAACTTCGGGCCCCGTTTCCGTGCAGAATCGGCGCGCTCCGTCGCCGATATCGGGCAGCATTGGCGCCATGTTTCGCGGAACGCTTGCCTCGACCCGTGGATCTGGCGACCACGCGCCAGAACCATGGATCTTAAATTCTGTAGTCTGTGTTCCTTCGACTCTAGGTTCTGTGGATGCGGGTGGTCTGCTTTGGGTGCCGCCACTTTTGCCTCGCAGCCGTTGGGGCTCGAGTCATGTGAGTCGGCCTCAAGGAGACCCCAAGGCGCGCCCCGGGGTGCATGGTGTGGGCCGCTCATGGTATCCTATTGGTATTCGCGGGCCTGGCCAGCCAAGCGGAAAGCTAGCGGGCGGTTGGGACCTCCGGCCCCGTAGGGGCAGCGTCGCCCGCGAGGCCGTCAGGTCCAGGGGGTCACGCGCGGGATGCGCGGCCTGGTGGCCTCGCACCCCCCATGGGCGAACGGAAGGTGGGGCAACGGCCGCCAGGCCGCGAGGCGAGGCTGGCCCCCTCCCGGCGGGCCGGGTCGTGGGCCCAGACCGCCAAGACCGCCGCCCGCCTCGGGTGCTAGTGGAAAGGGGCGCGGTACGAGCCAGGAGCCGCCGCCAGCCGAGGCCGCACTGCTCCCGGGTGCGTCTGTGACAGTGCCGGGGCCTGGGGGCCGCCCCCAGAAGGGGAGCAGCAGCGGTCATGGCTGGAGCCCCAGGGAGGATGTGATGTCGGCTGGGGGCTGGCAGGCGTGGATCCTCGATTGTGCGTTGAGTTGGGTCCGGCTGGTGCAGACCCCGCCGCCCGATGAACCCCCCCGTTGTGAGCAATCCCCTGCCCCAGACGCAAATGGGTACGCAATTGCAGTTGCATCCGGTGGGTTTGGGAGCTGCGTGGACTTGGGGGGTGTTTTTCAGCACCCATCAGTACACCGATTCGACCAGGCAGTTACGCTCGCTATCGATTTGGGTGTGTGGGGCAAGCGGTGGACGAGCTCGGTGTTTCGATTTTGGGCCGCTGGTGGAGCACCGCGATGTGCTGCTTGATAATGACGATAATCACCTTCCTCCTCAGGACGTTCGCGTACTGCGTCGACACCGTGGTGGTGCCAGCCCTGTGTTTCGGCCGAGGGCCTGGCGTTTGCTCGCGCAGCGTTGCGGGCGAGCATTGTCGGAACCCGCCGCGCATATAATCGCCACCGCCGCCGTCCCTGCGCGTCCGTCGGCGAGGACGGAGGATCGGTGGTGAGCCGTAAGCTGCAAGCCAGAAGTGCGCGCGGGGCTTTGGCACCGGGCGGCGGCCAACCACATGCTGCATCGCAAGAACGGACACGTGGCCCGTGTGAGGTACGTCATCAACAAGCACTGGCCGAGTCGGCGCGGGCGAGATCTTCGGCTCGACGAGGTGCTCACTTGCACTAGCCGGCAGCGGCGGCAAGACCTCGTGGCGCTGGGAACGGCGCACTGTCGCTTGCGTCGCGCGCCCGGATGTTCGCGCGTCGACCAGCGCGCCGCGACCGACCGCGCCCGGATCGTCTATGCGTTGCGGAGCGCGCCCAGGTGACGCCCGCCCGCGATGCGCGAGCCAGTCGTCGCAAGGCTTCGGGGGGCCCGCGGTTGGTCCCGCGCGGAAATCTCGGGCCCGTTCGCGTGCATCTGCGACCCGAACGCTTCATTATAATGAGACCGACGGCTTTCGGCCGCTGGCCCCCGAGTCCGAGAGCGAGCCCGACGACGAGGGGCAGCCTTGCCTCGCCGTCGAGTCGGGGGTTCAGCTGGCGACGGGGGCCCGCCCCGTGCTGCTGGCAGGGCGCTGCGACCAAGGGCTGGTTGAGCCCGCCAGATTGCTCGCGGGCGCCCTCGCGTCCGGCGCCGGGCCCGCCCGCCAAGCGGACGCCGTCGCGAATGCGCTCGGGCGCCCACCGCGCGCAGCTGTGCCAGTTCACTTGGGCGGGGCGGGAGCGCCGTCTGATCGCTTGCCGCCGCGTGGCTACAGGATCCAACGAAGTGGTGCGCCTGCTGCGATGGCTCGGCCAGGGGGGCGGTCGATCCGACGCGCCTGCCGACCCCGATGGGGCGGGCTCGGACGCCGCGCGCGGGCCGGCGCGGAGCTCGTCCGAGACGGCGCAGGACGACCGGGCCGAGGGTGCCGGCGGGGGCTCGAGGGAGGCCGCGGCCTCGGGGGCGCGCGAGGGCGAGGTGGGAGCGAGGGCGAAGGCACCATTGCGCAGCCCGAACTGGAAGTCGCCCATGCCCCGCGATCGCCAGGCGACGCCGCGCGGCACGAAGGGCAAGCAACCGCCACTGCGTGGGGGAAACGCATCGTTGGGCTCGCGTCGGGTGGGCCTGAGGGCGCCGGCGTGGGCAGCGGCGGCCCCGCCGGCGGGGGCCGCGAGGGGGGCAAGGGGGGGGCGACCGCCGGCAGGGCCCCCTAGCGCCCGGCGTGAAGCGCCGGCGTCGTTGACGCGCCCGCAGCGAGTGGGTGTTTGGCCGCCCGCCCGCAGCGCCGTCGCCCTCGCGGGGCCGCGCGGACTGCCCCGCGCCCCCAGGGCGCCGGGCGGCCGCCTCGCCCTCTTCTTCGGCGGGCGGCTCGCGCCCGCGCCTGGCCAGCAGTCGAAGTTCTAGGCGTCTGCGCGCTCGCCTCAATCGGCGCGCCGCGCTCGGGTGGCTTTTTGCCCGCCGCGGCTCGGACTTTGCCACGTCCCCGCGCTGCCGGCCCGCAGGTGCGGCCCGTCTTCGTCCGCGGACCAGTCTCCCGACCGCCGCGGGCCGCCCGCTTGCCGCCCCGCCGCGGGCTGCCCAGGGTCCAGCGGGCGGCCCGGGCCCAGCGGGCGAGCGCCTTGCCCGCCGCGCTCGTTGAGTTTGTTGGGCGCGTCGTCACTGGCGGCTGAGTGCCGCGGGTGGCCTGGGCGGCTCTGTCTTTGCGTGTTGTTATCTAACAGCGAAGGCTGATAGGTTTCTAATGGGGTCAAAAGAGAGCATCTGATGACTTCCCAGGGGGGTCTGGGCGGGAGCCAGACAGGCGAGGGCCGGGCTCGTTTTGAGCAAACAGTCACACACTTCGTGCTCTTCGACCTCCCAGAACTCCATTCCCGGGCCACATTTTGAATGCCCGGAGCCAACTGTAGGCCGCTTCGTGCCCTTGGACTTCCCAGAACTCCACTCCCGGGCCCCATTTTGGATGCCCAGAGCCAACTGTAGGCCACTTCTTGGATTTCCCAGAACACCATTCCCGGGCCACATTTTGGATGCCCGGAGCCAACTGTAGGCCACTTCGTGCTCTTGGATTTCCCGGGACATCATTCCCGGGCCACATGTTGAATGCCCGGAGCCAACTGTAGGCCACTTCGTGCTCTTCCATTTCCATGAACTCCACTACTGGGCCACATTGAGAATGCCCGGAGCCAACTGTGCGCCACTTCGTGCTCTTCCACTTCCCAGACTTCAAGACTCATCATCTTCATCATCATCATCGTCCCCGTAGCCTTCTTGGCTACAGCCCTGCTTTCGAAGATTTCCTTTCAAAGGAACTGCGCAGCGCCTACTGCGCACCTTAATGCCAGGACATGCAGATAGTTCTCGGTCTGGCGGCGGCGCTCCTGACCCTGCTGCATTGAACAGCGGTGCTCCTCAGCCTGCGGCAGGGAACAGCGCTGCTCCTCTGCGCGCTGCATTGAGCGGTCCTCTGCAAACGCTCGTCGAGCACGTGAAGTCGGCCGGATACCGAAGCGAAACAAAGGAACGTCCGAACAAGAACGGGCCGAAAACAAGTTGGCCAAACGTTTCTCGGACCGTCGCGACCGCATCCCCAAAGACATTTTGCATGAACTGCGGGCCCTGGGCTGTGCTGATCAGCAGACGGAGACCGAGGAGCTCAAGCGGAAGCAGAAGACCGAGGAGCTCATGCAGCAAAAGCGAGACAAGACCGAGGAGCTCATGCAGCAAGTGCGAGACCTCGGCCGCCACCCGAAGGAGTATGCCGGGCGTAGCCTATGCCGGGCGTAGCCTCGCAGAGCGGCAGCTGGCACTGCTGCTGCTGCTGCTGCTGCTGCTGCTAGTGTTACTATTTTTGCTGCTGCTGCTGCTGCTGTTGCTGCTGCTAGTGTAGCTATTGCTATTGCAACTACGGGCAGTGCCACTGTGACTGCCGCTGATGTTGCCACTGCGACTGCCACTGCGAATCCGAATGCGACTGCGAGAACACCAGAATTCTACAACAGCACTCTTACATGAATACTACAGGCAATGTTTCCAGCTATGCTTCTACACATCGCTGTTAGGTTGCTTTGCCGGGATAATTTGTTCGCGTTGACTGCTGAGTGCGACTGGAGTCCAGAGCAGCGCGCGCCTCGGGCCCGCGCGGGCACGGGCTGGCCGCCGGCGCTCTGGGCCCCCGGCGCCAGTCGGCGCGCGCCGCTCGCGCCCGCGATTGCAGTTCTAGGGGTATGATTTCCTTTTTGGCGCACTGGGCCCACCATTTTCGGGCGCCGGGCGCCCCCCCGAGCTTTTCCCGGCGCAAGGCGAGGCGGGGGCGCGGCGAGCCGGCGAGCCATTTCCTTGGAGGGCCAAGTCCAGCAGCATCCAGAAGACGAAAATCTGGGGCCAGTGCCCACGCCGTTTTGGCCCAAAGCGCCGATGGAAACATCAGGTGCCGTGGCGCGCGCGGGCGCGCGGCAGTTGCGTTCGGCGCGGTGCCGGGGTGGATCCGTCTACGGCATGTGCCTGTTCTAGAGCAGGCCCCGCGCGGAACTCCAAGTCATTCCCCCCTCCCCGCCGCCCCCGGGAGGCAGGCCGCAGGCCCTTCTGCGCGGCCGCTGGCGGCGCGCGGCAGCGGCGCAGGCCCGCTGCGCGCAGCGGGCCTGCCCCCCTTTAGCGCCCGAGACTAGCTTTTTTTCGTGACAGCGAAGACTGATAGGTTTCTAATGGTGTCAAAAGAGAGCATCTGATGACTCCCCAGGGGGGTCTGGGCGGGAGCTGGGCAGGTGAGGGCCGGGCTCGTTTTAAGCAAACAGTCACGCACTTCGTGCTTTTTCGACCTCCCAGAACTCCATTCCCGGGCCACATTTTGAATGCCCGGAGCCAACTGTAGGCCACTTCGTGCTCTGCGACTTCCCAGAACTCCATTCCCGGGCCACATTTTGGATGCCCGGAGCCAACTGTAAGCCACTTCGTGCTCTTCAATTTCCCAGAACTCCATTCCCGTGCCACATTTTGGATGCCCGGAGCCAACTGTAGGCCACTTCGTGCTCTTGGACTTCCCAGAACACCATTCCCGGGCCACATTTTGAATGCCCGGAGCCAACTGTAAGCAACTTCGTGTTCTTCCATTTCCCAGAACTCCACTCCCGAGCCACCTTTTGAATGCCCGGAGCCAACTGTGCGCCACTTCGTGCTCTTCCACTTCCCAGACTTCCAAGACTCATCATCTTCATCATCATCATCGTCCCCGTAGCCTTCTTGGCTACAGCCTTGTTTTCGAAGATTTCCTCTCAAAGGAACTGCGCAGCGCCTACTGCGCACTTCAATGCCAGGACATGCTGATAGTTCTCGGTCTGGTTGCGGTGCTCCTGACCCTGCTGCATTGAGCAGCGGTGCTCCTCAGCCTGCGGCAGGGAACAGCGCTGCTCCTCAGCGTGCTGCATTGAGCGGTCCTCTGCAAAGCGAATCCGAATGCGACTGCGAGAACACCAGAATTCGACAACAGCACTCTTACATGAATACCACAGGCAATGCTTCCAGCTATTCTTCTACACATCGCTGTTAGGTTGCTTTGCCAGGATAATTCTTTCCGGCGCTGGACGCCCCCCCCCCCCGCCCGACGCTCGGCGCGGAGTCGGGCGCGGGGGGCGGCGAGCCGGGAGATGGGGCCCGCCCTGGGGCAGCGGGGGTTCGCTTCGCTTCCTTGCTTACCCCCTGGGGCGCGGCCGTCGTTTTTTTGTTCGTTGGGCACCGGTGCGCGGGTGGGGCGGCGCCGCGCGCGGCCGCCCCCCAGCCCCCCGCGGCCCGCTCGGGCTGGCGCCTGGGGCGCTGCACTCCTGCCGCAAGCGTGGCGCTCTCTGGCAGCGACCATGCCCAGCCAGATGCTGGGCCAGTGGCCGCAGGCTTGGTTAAGGGGTCGGCACCTCCCAGGGGCTGTTTCCATTGCTTGAGCCAGCGGCCGCCGGCTTGGCACCCCGCCGGATTGGTGCCCGCCTAAGGTTTTGTTCCCTTTGCCAAGCCAGCGGCCGCCGGCTTGGCGCCCCGCTGGCTTGGCCCCCCGCCCCCAAGGGGGCCCCCCTACCAAACCAGCGGCTGCCAGCTTGGCGTTCCAGGGGCTCGGTGCCCCCCCCGGGGCCCCCCCCCTACCGAGCCAGCGGCCGCCGGCTCGGTATCCCGCGGGCTCGGTACTTTAAGGGGTTCCCCTAATGCCATGCCAGCGGCCGCCGGCTTGGTAGTATCCCGCCGGCTTGGTACCCCCTTTTCTATCAGGCCTGCGGCCGCCAGCTCGGCACCCCGCTGGCATGGCACCCCCCGGGGGCCCCCCCCTACCACGCCAGCCAACGGCCACCGGTTTGGCATCCCGCCACCCTGGCGCCTCTTGCAGGGCCCCCCCCACCAAGCCAGCGGCTTGGTATCCCGCCAGCTTGGCGCCCCCCAACCAAGCCAGCGGCCGCTGGCTTGATACCCCGCCAGCTTGATGCCCCCCCCTGGGGCGCCTGGGACCCCTCTACCAAGCCGCGGCCGCTGGCTTGGAACCCCCCCAGGAGTTCCCCCTACCAAGCCAGCGGCCGCCGGCTTGGCACCCCGCCGCCTTAGTTACTTCTCTTGCGCCCCCCCCCCCATGCCAAGCCAGCGGCCGCCGGCTTAGTACCCCGACGGCTCGGCACTCCCGAGTGGTTGCCCCATGCCGAGCCAGCGGCCGCCAGCTTGGCGCCCCGTCAGCTTGGCGCCCCCCCTGGGGCTCCCCCCTGCCGAGCCAGCGGCCGCCAGCTTTGCGTCTCGTTGGCATGGTGCACCCCCCAGGACACCCCCCCGAGGGGGTCCCCGTCCGACCCAGTGTTTGTATGATTACAACAATGCATGTTCGAGCGATTTCGTGGCGATTGGTGCGCTATGGATCATCAGTTTCATTTTTCATCATGCATGTTCGTCGTTTTCATTAATTATGTTTCATCATCCCGTTCCTTTTTCTGCTCCCACAGAAAGGTATGTATCAACGAGAAACGCCTTGACAGCAAGGATTCCTTTTGTGGCGACCTGACAAAAGGGATTAAGCGTAGAGGATTTGCTGTGGCTTCTACTACGAGAATCCTTTTGTAGCATCCAATCCACATCGATTCGTTTTGTGGCGGCCCTACACTCGTGTTTGCATTGTGGGGGATCTGCACCGGCGGCGCCGTTGGCCAAGGAAAGTTACATAGGAAAGCAGGGAAAACAGTACAAACATGAAACAATGTGTGTGTTTCTCCGCGGGAAAACAGGAAAAGCTAGGAACAGCTATGACTGTCTTTAGTTTTTGAATTGTGAAAACGCAGGCTTTTCACTTTTATTGTTTTTTTTTTTATGTTTTTCTTGTTTTCCGCTTCAGCTCCCCTGGGTCAGCGGCGCCGCCGCTGCAGATTCCCCACGCTCAGAAACCTTTTTGCAAGGTCGCCACAAAACAATAATCCCGCCTGTGCAGGCTGCTACCAAAAGGCTTCTAATTGCGGGGGCCACTGCAGATCCATCGCACTTAAATCCTCGTGTAAGGTCGCCACAAAAAGGGATCCTTTTGCAAGGGCCGCTAGAAAACAACTGTTTAAGTGTTAGGTCATTTGCGCCCGAAAAATAGCGACAATCAAAGGAGTTCCTTGTTGCTTCCTGTTTCCCTTTCTGTGAAGACACAGGTTTTTTTCGCGCGTTTCATGTTTTTCTTGTTTCCCTTTGTGGCTTTCCTGGGCCCGCGGCGCCGCCGCTGCAGATCGCCCACGCTCGAAACCTTCTTGTAAGGCCGCCACAAGAGGAATCCTTTTATACAGGTTCCTACAAACAAATTATCATTGTTGGGGCCATTCCAAATCCTCCACAACAAAATGTTTGTGTAAGGTCGCCACACAAAGGATCCTTTTGCAAGGCCGCCACACAACGATTTGAATTGGTAGGTCATCAGCACCCACAAAATAGCGACTGTCACGGGCTGTCCTAGTTTTTCTTTTGCTTTCCCATGTGAAAGCGCAAGTTGCGTTTGCGTTTTTGTTTTCCTCTGGCTTTCCCGGGCCCACGGCGCCGCCGCTGCTGACCCCCCCAGTCGTAAAACTTTAGTGTAAGGCCGTCACAAAAGGAATCGATGTGCATTGGCTACTATAAAAAGATTAGCCCAAAGCATTGCAGATCCTCCACACTTAAAACCCTTTTGTAAGGTTGCGACAAAAGAAATCCCTGTGTAAAGGCGTTTTTTTGTACATATATTTGTGGGAGAAAAGGAACGGGAAGATGAAGGATAACGAAGACGACGAACATGCATGATGAGTAGATTTATGATCCATGGCGTTCCAGTCGCCACGAAACCTGAAAACATTTGGCTGCAACCGCGCGAGCGGCTGGTCCTGCGGGCCCCCCCCCCGCACCAAGCCAGGCCCCCCCCCTCCCAAGCTAGCGGCCGCCGGCTCGGTGCCCCGCCAGCTTGGCCCCCCATCCCGGGCCCCCCCCCCTGCCAAGCCAGCGGCAGTGGTTTCCCGCCGGCTTGGTGCCCCCCTCGTGGCCCCCCCTTGCCAAACCAGCGGCCGCGGGTTTGGTGCCCCGCCGGCCCGGTGCCCCCCGGGGCCCCCCCCCTACCCGGCGGCCGCCGGCTTGGCACCCCGACGGCTTCGCACCTTCCTGAGGCTGGGGGGGGGCGAGGGTGCCAGCTTACTTTTAACATTCCAAGCTCCTATACAAATCAGCCGAGCCACTGATGGATCTCTAAACTGACAGCGAGCCCCCGAAGGCGGACCAACACAGCCAGCCAGACGTGCAATAAGGCAAAGTTGCCATGATACTCGCACAATAGTCATATGCACAACATGATCCTCGAACATGTTCATGTTTCTCGTCGCCGGAAGAGGCCAGCTCCGCTGGCTAAAAGTGCCGAGGCCAAGGTCGGCATCTCGCTGTGCCGCACGAAACCTTGGGATTCGCCAGGGCCTTGAGCCGCGACAAAAATACATTTCTCCTGTCTGGCATCAGCCGCTTCTCCGCTTGCGGTTCTGGCGCTTGCCGCGCGCGCCCGCGTCGGGCTGGCGCGGGTCCTCGGGCGCCCCACCGCCTGCCGCCGAGCCCGAGGCGAAGCGCTCCGCGTCGCCAGGCCGTCGCGCGCGTCCGAGCTCGTGGAGCAGCGCCGCGCGTAGGTCATCGCGGCCCCGAGCCGGAGCGTCCTGCAGCACTCGCCGGAGCTCTCCAGCTGGGTCCACCCAGAACTTGCCGCCCTTGTCGTCGATGGTGCTGCCTGCTCGAGCTCGGTGTCGCACGAGCTCGCGCTGCTTGGTGCGCCTCTGGACGGCTGCCGATGACTTCCATCTGCCTCTCCGCCTCGCGGCCTCCAGCGTCTGACCCGACTCGACGAAGTCCGCTGCGCCCGAGTGCGCATCGCACGCGGAGGTCCGCTTCCTGAAGGCGGCCGCCGACGGGGGGGAGATCAGGCCACTTTCGCGCGCGATCTGGGCCGTCGCCTTCTGGATGGCCCGCGCGAATTGGAAGCGGACCGCCACCTCCTGGTCGCGCCCCGCCTTGAGGGTCTCGCCTCTGGCTCGCGCGCCCAGCGCCAGACTAGCCCCATCTCCGTCAAAAGACACGCCCTGCATTCTCAATGGGATCCTGCCCCCTCAGGGAAGAGTCAAAGGAGGTCAGCACCAGTGGGCCCTCGTGCACCCTGCCCTGCTCCAGCAGACACATCGCGACGCGGGCGATGGGCGAGCGGTCCAACGGCTTGCCCTCGCCCTGCGCGGCCGCCCTCAGCTGGGACTCGAGGGCGCGGGCCGCCTGCGGCATCTCGCCCCGATGGCCCTCGCCGACGCGCAGGAAGCCGAAGAAGACCGCGTTGCCCACGTCGACGCTGGACAAGCGCAGGTAGCAGAGCGATGAAAGGCAGTTCGCCATCGCCGCGTCGCGCTCGGCGCGCGTATCGAAGGACGTCCCCTGGCGCTGCGCGCCCTGCAGGAAGCGCTTCGCCTCTTCGATTTTGCGGCGGTTCGCGTCGTCGTCGACCTCACGGGCGCGCGGGCGATTGACCAAGCCCGAGCTCCGCGCGCGGCCAGCGGCGGACCGGCGCGGGCCGCCCGAGACGGCGGCCGTCGTCTCCGCCTGCCGCCTCCCGCCAGGCTCCGAGGCGCCCCCGCCCCGTGACGGTCGTCGCCAGTGGGCTTCACTTCGACCGCCGACTCATTCCCGCCGCCTGGCGAAGGCCGCCCGCAGGCTCCAGGGGAGTCTTCGCGCGAGTTGGCGCTGCTCCGTGTCGGCCTCGGCCCTCTCGCTCCTCCTCTGAGCGGGCCGTCCGCGACGTCGCCCTCGCTCGGGGCCCGCCTCGCGTGCATCTTTATGTCGCGCGCCAGCTTAACCCCCGCGGCCACGCGACAGAGCCGCCGGGGCATGCGGGAGGAGGCGCGGCCCTTGCTGAGGGCTCCAGCGACCGCCAAGGGGGGCCCACGAAGACGGGGATGCGGCGCCCCCAGGAACGGCTGCTCCGAGGGAGGTACCGAAGTGCCTCCCGGCGCCCCGTGAAAGCCGTCGCCCAGCGGTCGATGTCCGCCCGCTCCGCTGCCGGCGGCGGCGCTGGCCGACGAGCCGCCCGCCGCAGGTGGAGCGGAAGCGGCCTGCAGACGCCTGCCGGGGCCGCCTCCCTCGCCACCTCCACGATCGTTTTGCGGAGCGCCGACGGGCCAAGACAGGCCAGCTTCGCCCACTTCGCTCCGCATGGCGCGTCGCCCCTCAAGACCTGATGCGGCGACCCCGCCATCGAACGGCAAGACGATGCACCCGTGCAGCTCCTCCTGATCTTCCGAAGATCCCAGCGCGATGTCGGAACCTTTGTGGGTTTCTTCCAGGGCGTACCGAACTGGCAGTTGTCGAGCTGGCAGCCGGCGCCTGCATCTCGGGCAGGAGCCAGATAAGGCTGTCGATCGGGTTCTCCAGCGCGAAGAACACTCCCAGCGTCAGTGCAAGCAAGCACGCCTCGATCGCCACGAGCGCCATCAGCGCGCCGTCCTTCACCTTCCTGCGATCTACTCGCCCGGGACCCGGGACTCCCGACAGACGGTCGGGCGCCCTGGGCCTGGGGATGCGGGCCCGCGAGAAAGTGGAGCATGGTGGACATGCGTGGGCCCGCCAGAATTCGTCTTGCCGCAGCCTCAGCATGAGCCTTGCGAGGTACGGCTTGCGCAGCAGGTCGCACTCCTGGCCGTAGTCGACGCCCCACGCCTCCGACCAGGTAGGCGCCCCGACTCGGAATGGCTCCGCCAGAACGGCCAGTCCCGCGAAGAGTTCCAGTATCCCAGGGCGCCCCGTCGCCTTGAAGCCAGCGGCCTCACTGGGGTCCTTCCTCCTCGAAGACGTCGCCCCTCGCGACGGGGCCCCATTCGGCTTGCGCGCGCGCCGCGTCGACCTGCGCCCCCCGGCCCTGCTGGCGAGACCACCGGGCCTCTCTCCGCTGCGACTCCGCCGAGGCCTCCGACGACACCACTGCTTATCCGTAGTTGTTGGCGTCCGCCATGTAGACCTGCGAGCGCCAGGGCAAGGGCAGGTCCGCGAAAAAGAAGGCGGATAGCCCGGCCAGGGCGATCAGCTCGGTCTTCGCATCGGCCCACAGCGTTCGCGGCCTGAACGGATCGTCGCTCGCGTGGATCCAGGCGGCGTAGATCACGCGGGGGATCACGAACGCGGGCCTCGCGGCCACCATCGCCCAGGCCCCGCGCCCCATGGGCAGCTTGACGAGCGCGGGGGCCGCGCAGGATTGCAGGCGCAGAGACTCCGTCGCCAGCACCAGGTCGCGCATCTGCTCCTCCTTCGCCCGACAGCGCAGGGTGACCGGGTCGACCGTGACCTCCAGCTTCTCGGGGGGTCCGATCCCTCTGCTCTCCCCGTGCACCGCCAGGCCTTTGGAGGTCACCAGCCCCCGCGCCGTCATCGCCGCCTGCTCCAGCTGCGGGTCGCCCTCTCTGTCGCCCACTAAGCCCCCTCCGCAGTCGTCGATGTAGAGCCAGTGCAGGAGAGAGTGCTCCGACAGCCGAGGCACCGCGTTGCCGTGCTCGACCCGACCAGCCCCGCCGCCCCCCAGGCCGTCGAAGCAGTCGGTCCGGGGCGCATGCGCGAGGTGGGCCGCCCAGCTCCAGCCCGTGAGCACGACCGAGCAGGCAGCCCCCGCCGCGTGTTCGGGGGGCTCGGGGGCGCGAACGCCTCGGCTCCGCCCGAACTCCCAGAGCCCCCGCGGCCCCGCGCCATCCAAGACAAAGTAGGAGTGAAGCTCGGGGATATTCTTCATCCTGTAGAACATCACGGGCACATCGCCCAGGAACGTCAAGAATTGCTTGCCCCCCAAGATGTCGGGCCCCAAGTCGACCTCCGCGAGCGCGGCGGGCGTCCCCAGCGGCGCCCAGGGCGGGCCCTTGAAGCGAAGGTTAACCCGACGGGCGTCCCAGACCAGCCGAGAGATCACCATCCGCTCGGCCCTAGTGCCCTCGACCTCCTTCAGCACCTTGAACACCGACAGCTTCTCCCGCGCGTCGCTCGCGTACTGCGGCGCGTTCGACTCCCAAATCTTGACTTCGAGCTCGAGCCTGGCGTCGCCATGCTTGAGCTCCGGCGCCTCGCGCGGCCGAATCTTGTTGCATTCGCTCACGTTGATCTCGCCCTCCGACTTCAGCATCAACCGCCCAGGCCCCTCAAGGTGCGCCCGCGCCGAGACTGCAAGGCCCCTCGCGCCGATTCCCCGCGGCGCTTTCGGAGGCAGATCCACTTCCGCCACTCGTAATGGACATAAGGCACCCCTCTGCAGGCGCCCTTCCCCCTTTTCCTCGAGAGTCGAGCTGCTTCCGCAGCTGGCTGGAAGCTTCTCGCCCATGCGGCGCAAGACCGCTCTGCCGTCGTCGATGGAGCCCCAGTTCGCCCACTTGCCCTGTTCGATCCAGACCCTCCTGACAATATCCTTCTGCAGCGGCGTCGCCTGGCTCCAGGCCGAGCCCTTGCGGGCCCTGGAGCTCCCGAAAGTGCTCTCGGCTGAGGCCTCGGAGAGCGGCGATCGTGCGATCGGACCTGAGCCATGTTACACGTCGAGTGCTCTCGCTCACCCCCCCGAGGACGCGCCCCAGCTCGCTCGAACATGCGGCGGCGCGCCCGGGAGATCTCGATGTCCACGCGCCTGGCCCGCCTCGAGCTCTGCGGGGCCCCTGTTCTGGCCCCCATCTGTCATGATAACGACGACCTCGATCGCGACGAGACCAAATCGGCACGCGCAAAAATTCCAAACGGTCGCACTGAATAGGTTGGGCACCGACTCGCCAACTCGGTAATTCAATAGGGCAACACACGGCGATTGACCCAGGGGGAGATATCGTGAAACACCAGCCCCACGACGCCGATGAGACAGTCAACGAAAACCAGGTAGACGGCCCGCCGACTGGCGGACCGAGAGCCAGAGCCAACGAGCAGACGCAGACAAGCTTCGCCCACCGCCAGACCCAGGGTGGCCTTGCACATTTTACACCGCCCCGCCACCAAGGGACGGCTAGACCTTCACTCTTTCTTGGCGGTCATCTCCGAGACAGCCCCCAGATGCTTCTGGAAGAGCGCCTTCCGTTTGAGCTTTTCGGTCACTTCGTCGTCAGCCGCGTCGATGTACGGTCGAGGCGGAAGCACTGCTCGGCCAGCGCCCAGTCGACCTTGCTTCGCCACTTCGTCCCTGCTTGATTCTTCGGACGAAGCCAGTCGTCCTTCCGCTGCACTTTGTCGAACGCCTTCATCAAGCTGTAGATGCGCAAGCAGACAAGCTCCGCCGCACGCGAGATGATCACGGCACCTCGGGGGCCCGTGTCTAGCATCCTGTCGAGCTCCATCCCGAGGACCAGGACCTCCTGTGCCGCGTTGCACCCCTCGAACTCCTCGCTGCAAAGCCACTCGCGCAGCTCCGCTTGCGCCCTTCCCCCGCCGCGGTAGAGGCGCGTCAGCACCTCGGAAGCCGACCGCGAGCGGATGTCCCCGACCTGCCCGAGGTGGACCCCCTCGTCGAAGCTCTTCAGCGCCGTGACCATGGTGTCCCGAGGGTTCCGGGAGTCCATCTACAGCTCATTGATGCGGGTCTTCAGCGGCGCCAGGCTCGACTTCTCCGAGGATCCAGGGGTGCTGCCAACCATTTCGAAGCTGTGCCCCGAGCGCGGCGTCGGGGAAGGGGCGGAGCTGATATTGACCAACCCACTCCCCCGCGTGGCTCGGGTGCTGTCTGCGTCCACGACCTGCCCGTGCTCCCCCAGCTTGGAAAGAAGGGCTTCGCTCTGGCTCTTGGATGGCTCGACGACATCATCAGACCTGGTTGCGTCTGTCCGCTTCCCGCTGCTGCTAGCTTCCGACCGAGCGGACGCCTTTATGTTCTCAATCGCTTCCGTTCGCTCCGCCAGTTGTTGCTGGCCCGCGAGGATCGTCTTCAGCAGGTCGTGCGAGGAGGGCTCTCCGTCCGACTCCGCATCCGAGATCGGGTCGCCGCACAGGGAGTCTTTGTCGCTGTCGGACCCTTCGCGCGCGGCCCCCTGGCCCACCCGGCCGAAGGCGAAGTGACCCCAGACCGCGAGGAGGCCAGCCGCGCGGTCACGATCCAGAAATCCAGCTCGAGGCTGTTCCTCATCTCGTCGAAGACGCCCTTCCATTTGCCTGCGTGCTCGATCCACTCGCGACCCTCCTCGACGGCCTGGCACCCCAAGCGCACCCACTCGGAGATCCCGAAGTAGACCCAGGCCCGCCAGAGACCCACATCAGTCCCTGCCAGCTGCCCCCGGCTCCTGCAAGCCCAAGCAAGCCCCCAGCCCCACGGACGTCGCGACCCGCGTGACACTGGAGCTCGGCAGCAGCAGCAACTTTTTCTTCGGCTTGAAAACGGAGCTGACTTCCTCTTCGGGACGGGAGTCGTCGAGACCTTCACGCGGTCGAGCAGCGTCTGGCGGGCCTGCTCGGCCTCCTCCTTGTCGTGAGTCGACAGGCCCGAGTGGTTTGCACAGGTGGCCCCGCCCTTGGCCTTCGCGCTGGCATGGTGCTTGTCCTTCGGATTGATCGGCCGCGCGAGGCCGACGGGGCCCAGCGCCGTCCACTCCCCCGCTTTGCCCAGGGCCCTGTGGATGAGCAGCATCACCGCCCCCGTCGGCCCGTCCTTGGCGCTCCTCCAGTATAGATCAGTTTATTTTCTGGAGGACGTCGTGGCCCACTGACTCGTGCCTCGATCCTCGAACCTCGGGAACCTGAGCAGCTCTACGTCTGGCGGGGTGGGGTCGACTTCGTCGACGATCTTCCAAAGCCTGTCGCCCAATCCCAGCAAGGTGCAGATCACCCAGAAAGCCGCGGAGATCATCGCCCGCGTCGCGGCGGCGCGAGGGGGGTAGCAAGCCGCCGGGATACCTAGCTGGCGGCCGCTCGCCTGGTAGGGGGAAGCCCCTGGGTGCACGAGTTGTCCAAGAGACTTTCCTGGCCTGGGTCTTTTTCAATGGCGCGACGACGGGTGGGGCCGCTTCTTCCTCCTGCTCATCCGATCCCACTCGCTCTTGCTGCTTGTTCGTGGTCCAAAGGTTTGGCGCGGCGCAGATCCGCTTCGTTGGGCGTCGCAGAATTTACCCCGCCAGGGGGGTCTGGCGCTAAGGCGGGGCCTGATTTCAGCCCTGACCCCCCACTCCGGGGCTAAATCGGCCCTCCAATACAGGACGCAGCATGCAATGCGTTGATCGGCAGTCTCTTTGGGCTCAAGACGTGAGGCGGCGGGCCAGCCGCCCGCTCTCGCCCCGTGCCCGGCGAGCGCCCAGCCCCGGCAAGCTGCCGAGGCGAGGGCGGCCCTTGCGCCCCGGCGGCGCGCGATCGCGGCCTCAGGCCGCACAGCGGCGCCCTGGGCCCCCCCCTGCTAAGCCAGCGGCCGCTGGCTTGGCATTCCGCCAGCTTGGTACCCCACCAGGGGCTCCTCCCTACCAAGCCAGCCGCTGCCGGCTTGGTATCCCGCCGGCTTGGCCCCCCCCTGGGTATCCCCGTTGGGCCCCCCCCCCAGCCGGCCTGGTATCCCGCCGGCTTTGTGCCCCTCCCTTACCGAGCCAGCGGCCGCCGGCTTGGCATCCCGTCGGCTTGGTGCCCCATCAGGGGTTCCCCCTGCCAAGCCAGCGGTCGCTGGCTTCGCTAGTATCCCGCCGGCTTGGTACCCCCCAGTGGTTCCCCTTACCAAACCAGCGGCCGCCGGCTTGGTATCTCGCAGGCCCAGCCGGCCTGGTATCCCGCCGGCTTGGTACCCCCCCCCGTGGTTCCCCCCTTTCAAGCCAGCGGCCGCCGGCTTGGTATCCCGCCGGTTTGGCACCCGCCTTGGGGCCCCCTGTACCGAGCCAGCGGCCGCCAGTTTGAATTT